ATGCGCATTGCAATACTTGTCAAAATAACCACAATAGGATTATTTGTATTTTTTTTGCATATGGTGCAGCCCTATTCAGAATAATTGTTACCTTTACACTGATAGCTTGATGGCTTATTCATTACAATGACTAAAGAGTTCATCAATCATGGATCTAATACTAGCCTCTCTAAAAATAATAAAAACATACTGTACAAGTAGACCGTACAAGAGAGCAGTTTTGTGATGTCAAACTAATTATTAGATTCAGACTTCCACACCAGTAAAGTGAGTTTCCCTTAACCGCTCAATATGTCACACAGCGTGTAAGAAGTAACATTAGCACCATCCAAGTCCTAATGTGTGGCATTCAGATTACTGGAACTTGCCTGACAGAGGGCAGTTTTACTCTATTCATCTTTCAACTCTAAACTTATTATTAAATTTACATGTTATTGATTGAGCAATAGCACGTCAATGTAATCTGATAACTTCTCAAATATGTATACAACTATATTTAATAATCAGACAAATATTAACAACACTTCACAATCAATTTTTTTAACAAAATGTCATCCATTTCAAATATGACCGAAGGATAGAAGTACCACTAACGCAAACATGCATCTACATAACAGCTGTTCTAAAGTAGAAAGCAGTGTGTATCCATAAAAACACTATAAATTTGTCGAGATTAAGTGCAGCTTGGTGGATCTGAGGTAAGCCGAATTGAGAAATGATTCTTCAAGTTTATTATGAGCTCATTAATCACCGAATACAGTCTTCGTTGTTAAGCTGAGGTACAAGATCACTTTAATTTCCTTGACTCTGCGAAGCAGTTTGGCTTATCATTCATACAAGACTATGCAACGTAAAGCACACCGAATGATGGCGATTCCCTCAATCTTACCCGAGGAATGACTTCCTTTGCTCTGTACTGCATCTTGGAAAACAAATCTATCAAATCCGCTATTTCCTCGCTCTTTCTGACCGACAGCCCGGAGGCCGTGAAGCCGCCGGCCGTGGAGGGGGAGGCGGCCATCATAGCGCCTCGACCCGCGGTGGTGGCCTCTAGCCGTACTCGACCTCCTTCAAACACCGCAGAGCCTTGTCCTTTGGAACGGGAAGACCGACCAGGCCATCCCTTCCCAGCCAGCTTCTTCCTGACTGCCCGCTTGAGGGGGCCGGAGCCGGGGACTCTTCCTGAATTCAGCGCACCGGCGGGCAGCTCCACTCTCCAAACACAACTCGTTAGCCAGCCCTCACAGCCAGCCACTCACACCGCGGCGGCTGCTGCTGCTGCTGCTGCTACCGGAATTAGCACGACTAGCTAACAGGCTAGTTCAGCTTCTCAGGCGCAAGTTGATGGTTTCCAATCACTCAAACCCCCTGTATAAACATTTGAGGCAATATCAGACCTTCACAGTCCTCCACATCACCACGGTTTGGTTTGCGACAACAGGTGAAGTAATGCTCGACTCTTAGCACCACCTAACTGAACTCCAGTAAGCTGGAGTCAGGAAATCTCCGGGATCCTTCCCGGCCTGCACACGTTTCCTCAATGTCACGTCTTCATGACTCCTCAGTAATCACGGCCATAGCGGTTAAAATATTAAAATTATACAGTAGTCAACCCTGTGGCTGTAGGATCGCAATGCTGCATATGTTGTTATTGGTGAAAGCCCCAGCAGCGGAGAGTGGTGTTGCAATCTGTGTACTACTGTCTGGAGGTACAGCAGGCGGTAAACAGGAAGTTAATGTGACCACGTGACACAGCCATCTCCCCCTTTAAATGACGTTTGTTGTTGATCAGAACTAGGTCTGATGTTTTGGAGCTGTCTCTATGGTCTGCAACTATCCACAGTTTGTTTACTCAGACAATCTTTCCCAGTTTTGCAAACACAGGCCTTTAATGCATTGGAGATCTCTTCTACTGGTGTGATCCTAGATTCACATCTTATCTCCAATTCCTACATAAACAAGGCTAGAGAGATGTAGAGAAATTGATTCATGCCTTTATTTCAAGTCGACTCAACTACTAACTACTCAACCCAAAAAACACAACTGAGAGATTTCAGCTCATTCAAAAATCTGCAGTATGGCTATTAACCAGAACCAAGAGGACAGAGCACATCAGGCCAGTCTGAGCTGCTCTGCACTGGCTTTCTGCTACATTTAGAATTGATTTTAAGGTCCTCCCCCTTGTACACAAAGCCCTAAATGGGCTAAGACCAAGCTCCATTGCAAACTCCCTTGTTAACCATTTGCCTCAAGACTACTGCTATCATCTGCTGCTGGTTTACTGGAGGTTCCCAACAACAGCAGGAAGAAGATCAGGGCTGTCAATTACGCCCCAAATTTGTGGAACACACTTCCTATAGATATCAGGGAAGCTAGCTTGCTAAATATTTTTTAAAGAAAGATACAAACTTATCTGTTCACTTTAGCCTGTCCAAGGCAGCCCCTTCACTCTAACATCTCTCCATTTAACGTATGTATAGGTCCTGTTTGTGCATGTGTGTGTTTTTCTGGCCTGTGTGTATATGACAACAGTGTGAAAAAAATTAATTTCCCCTCATGGATTAATAAAGTATACAAAATGTCCCCAGAAATCTTGGGAAATATGGCCATATTTTGCCTCTGTAGTGTCAATTTTTACTTATGTTAAAAACAATTATTGATGTATTTAATAATAATTGCTTGGCTTTGCTGAGATAGGATTATATCTTATACATGGAAATTAAATACACTTGTTATTACTGATATTTAAAACAATAAATGTTTATATTGTCTCATTAAGCCAAAAGCTCATTTAAACATGCAAACAGCAATGTTGGCAAAGTGCACATGTCCAACTATCTCTAGGGGAGGTCATAACAGAGTAAACTACACTCAGCAATCTCTGTGGAAGGAGTATGTCCAGTATTATTTCTCTCTGAGTCATTAGACTGCAGACAGAGATGAGTGTCCAAGCCATAGATTCATCCCACTGGCTTGAATGAAAGTCCTCACACTTCTCTAGCCGGAGGAAGTTACAACCAAAACTTAAGCTTAGAAAGAGTGCATATTCTTTTATTCATTATAAACTATTATGTATTTCACAAATCCAGTTGGTAAAAACCATAACTCTTCAAAATAGTCATATAAACATGCCATCAGTAAAATGAACAAACACTTTACTTCCCAGTATCATTTGGGGACTATTGAGCAGATGACTCCATGCAGCTTTAAACCCCCCTCCCACTCGAAAATGCGTTAAGCGTGTTGTTCAGTTGGGAGGAATTTTCCTCTGGGGCTTTCTACCAGAAAGGGATTTCTCGGTTATGTTTAGGCAAAAAGTCGCAGTTCTGGGTTCAAAGTAATAGATTTAGGTCAGATGGGGCATTCTAGGAGAAAGCCTATAAGGAAAACTTCTCCAGTGTACTCTTGCCATTCATTTGGATATTTGAGCATCACTGTGTAGAATGATGTATGTGCAGAGTTGTTTGGTTGTTAGGTAATTGAACTTTTCTGCTTACAGAGACTTTACTAAAGTTAATGGAGTTTCTCTTTGAGAATGGGAGAAATCAAACCTATACATGGCTGGATGATCCTTTTTTCAGATACATAGTACTTCCTTCAGAAATACAATCTAAAATGACCAGTGTTGATAACATTTTCTGTCTTTTGGAAAGCCATGTCACAATGGTGAGGGAGAGTGGCAACAAGGGAAGGACTTTAATGCAGACCGTTGGGGCGTCAGGATCATTTTAGTGGTTTATTGTAGAGTGAGGGTACAGATATGCTTACAGACAGGTAAACAGAGGAAGGCAAACTTGACCAGGCTGGAAGCCGGCAAAAAGGCAGGAGATCAAATTAGGCAGTAGGTCAGGCAGACAAGTAACAGAAAGGTAAAAGGCAACAGAGGCTCAAAAGCAATAACTTAAAACACATTGCAGCTTTACGGGAACAAACCAGGTGGACCAGTGAGTAACTGATGAAAGAGTGTGAGGAAGGAGCCAGGCAACTGCAGGAGATGGGTTTGTCACCATCTTGGTATTTTTTAACCAAAGTGACCATATTTGGATGAGAGGTTTTTGCTGTGGAGGAGCATGGGGTGGATCTGAATGAGAGGGCAAGGACACGATCAGCTAACAGTTAAATATGCATAACATTGGACCTTGATAAAATGTAAATGGGTGGACTGTAAAAAAAAAAGAAAAAAAAATCACCCCTTCTACAGTTGTCATGAATGTTAAAAATTAGCTATAGAGACCAAAAACATTTTTTGTACCAGGCTGTTTAAGATTTAGGAAACTGGTTGCCTTGAATAAAGTCAGTAAACTTAACTTTTAGTTCTATGGTATGTTTACTTTATATCTTCTTGTTAAGTGTACTTAAAACGCTATTGGTTGTCAGCTACCTAATTTTGTTTGGTAATGCAACTTTAAAATGAAAAGCCAACTTAACTTGTTCTTTCAAGTGTTGGCAACTTAAATAGACTGAGTTTGGGTGGCTACATGAAGAGTTGTGTATATTCAGAAGAATTAAGGAAACCAGTTGCCTTAGAAAAATGAAGTAAACTAAAAATTAGTCAGCAGGGTTCCTTTATATTCAAACAACACGCCAGTCAGAGTACCTGAAGACAAGTGAGACTTGTGTTTGTGTTTTATCACCTACATCAGTACTCCACACGCTAAACTGCCTATAGGTTATTCAAGATGGGGTTTAAAGAATATCTGCAACTAACATATATATGTCTATGAAAATTATTTAATTAATTACTCTAAAGTTTTAGCCCATCAAATCAAGTACCAACGCCTCACGATACTTTACTATCATCCCTATCTGCAGTAAGCACACACATACATTGCAAAGTTGCATTTTTCAGTCTCAGATGTTTCAGACTTAGATTTTAAGGTGTAAGATTCATTCACTGTCATTCTACAACACAGGCCTGCACAACAAAATGCAAGAGAAAAAAAACAACTTTTTTTATGGTGGAATAGCCTTTAGAGGATATTTCTGAATCGCCTGCCAGATGGCAGCAGGGTGAACACGCTGTTGCTGGGGTGGGTATTGTCTGTTCGAAGTTAAGCGCCAGCGACACCCTCTAAATGGAGTTTGAGCTGTTCTTCTGTCTTTAAGGATAATTTGGAGGAAGAGCTTATATCAGTTTTGATAAAAGGCCCAATGCTTGAGGATGGCTATCAGTGTCATCTATGATGAAGTTACCTTCCAGTTTGACACCAGTGCAGGATGGTTCAAGGCACAGGGCCATTTGGACATGACAGCTGGCTGTCTTCAGACCCCATGACATCTGAATCCTGCAGGCATAAAGGACAGTTGAAAAGTGGAAATTAACCATGCAAAGTCCTCTTGTATTAACAAAAAAAAAAAAAAAAACTTAGTTAAATAAAAAGATAAAATGTATGATATATTAAAAAAAAATTGTTTGAACCCTGCTATTTATAACTATGTATATGAAAAAATATTATTGTAACACATGGCAGTCAGTGGATGAATTTAACTAAGTACATGTACTCAATACTAAGGAACAATTTTGAGGTAATTTAATTGTGTATTTCCATTTTGTGCTACTGTATACTTCTACTCCACAACGTCTCTACGGGAAACATTCTGCTTTTTCTTCACTACATATATCTGACAGCTTTAGTCACTGGTTGCTTTGCAAATTAATACTGTTTACACAAGGTATAATTCCGATAATAAATTATGATGTATTATTATGGACTGCTATTTTTTTTTCTAAAATGAGCCATTCTGCATGACTATATTTTGATGCTTATATTTTATGTTAGTACTTATGTACTTTATTTCAGTAAGATTTTAAATCTAGGATTTTTACTCTGTGGTATTACTACTATTACGTTGTAGTTAAGTAAAAGCTCTGAAAACGTTATATCAAGAAACGCAACTTTTATTTACACAGGTAAAAGTGACAAAGTATATTTATTCCATCTACTGTTGCTGGCCTCCCTATATATCCACAAGAACATGGGATATGGAGAAAGCAACAATTAAGACATCTTTAACACTCATTATGTTACTTGCACAGTGAAGTGGAGCTACAGTTAGAACTTAACTATATAATTGGACTACTGTCCTTGTCCAAGTATACAAGCACAGGAGGGGAATCGATTCATTGACCTAAATATGTCCGACTCTGCTACGATAGGTGGCGATATGCCCCCTTTCAGCTTGTTAGTATTGGACCTTTTTCCAGTTAACCTTTTACGTCACAGACCAAACAATTGAGTGTCGTCAAGCTCTTCTGCCACTGATTTGGACAGGCCCACATTACGTGTTTTCCTCCCATCCATGTATTTTAAAAATATTTAACTTTTTCAGCTGACACAGCACGAACTGTGTCTCCTTGTCTGTCCAAAAATGCACAGCTCTGGATGTAGATTTTTACCATGTTGTTACAAGCTTGACTTTTGGGTCAAAGCCCGGGGTGGAAACTGTGGAGCATGCGCAGAGCGCCTCGGCCAGTTTGGGTCTGACTGACTGTATACATGAAGGAGTTATTCAACTCCAAATCACATTATCTGGGTGTGTTAGTTTGACTTTGAGAAATTCGACTTAGTACATTTCAGTCAGACTAACATGTTTACATGTATTTTAAAAGTCTGGATTTAGATGGTCTGACACAATAAATAAAAAATTCTGATGTCATGTAAACACACTGACTGAAATGTTGCTTAAACATTATTGCATTGGTTTGA